AGAGAGAAAGAAAGAAAGGACGAAAGTGGAAAGAAAGAAGGAACGAAGAAAGAATAAAAAAGAGACAAACGTAAACTGTTAGATTAGCTAAAATAGTGACCTGTTGATGTCAAATAACTAGAACCAGAAGCAAAATCAATGAGAACAAACAAGGTGCGATGGTTTTCAAGATCTTCACATAACCTTTAACATAGTTAACGGGTATTCTATTTAGCACAGTTTATCTATTCATTTGCTTCAGCTATCCATTGAACCACAAGATATCCATCTGAGATTTAAAACTGGATCTTATTTTACCTTATTAAGCACACGGTCATCGTGGGTTAGTTGAGAGACCAAGAAGAGCTTCGAAAGAAAAACCAGAAGAACGTTTCTCGCGAAACTGTTAGGTAGGTGCCCTTACAATTGAGATATTGAGAAATTGCAATATGCTATATGGCGCTTGATTTCTCAACCCTGATAACTCCTAAACAAACTTCACTGTACAGTTAAAATCAAAATATCAGTAGTAAAGGGAGAAAGAAATACCCAAAATATAAATTATTGTCACAAGTAATGTGAAATAAGCACATCAGCCACCCTTTGGGCTTCATAGGAATAAAATAAATTAAGGATGTATATACAATTAAATGTATGGAGTGATGTTCGATGTTGAGTGTATGACGTCACAGACTCCAAAAAATAATCGTAAAAATATCATACTTTCGCCCTGAATATCGAGAAAACACTTCATACAGTGATTATTGGACCTTTAAAGAGTATTCTTAGGAAGTTTCAGCTGAATCCAAGTTTGAGCGATTTTCGTCAGAGTAGCACTTTAAAATCTAAATGTCTTTACCCTGAAGAAGGTCTACGAGATCGGAGCGACTCTTCTGCACAATTTCTAAAAAAGTAAGGCAAAGTCAACTGATAAAAGTAAAAGCAAAATTAAATGTGCGGTTTCTTTTGGCTATTTGGTTATTGAATTCCCACGGTCTCTTAAGGTCATCTGAAGAACTAAGTTTTAAACGAGGCTATAAATAGATATTGGCATCGGCCGTGGCTTTCTTGGGAAATGCCGAATGTCCGGGACATGGGATAGTTTTTTCTGATTTTTATGGAAAACGTTAAAAAACATTAACCAATAAATAAAATTAAAAAATCCTTTGAATTTGTTGAATTTGGTCGTCGCCTACAGTTGTCGCGGGAAGCGGGATTTCAGGAAGAATAGCGCGTGGTTCGGGATCCGGACCCCCCTCCTAGACCTTGAGACGAATAATTCTTTCTGACGTCGTCGTACTTCCACTCATTTTTTACAGTACAAATCATGGTTGGTTATCACCGTCGTGTCGCGGCACTGCTGTGTTTGCTACTTGTTCTTCATGAATTTGGACCTGCGCACTTCGCTCATGTCAAGCCTCCCAGTGATAGCACCTTAGATGAAGTCGATCAAAACCCTCGAACAAGTAAATTGATGTCGTTATTAACTTTATGCCTTTTGCAGTTGTAGTTTCAATTGAAAAGACGGAAAAATTTTTACTTCGAAATCTCGTGTCTTAGGTAGATGTGCTGTGCATTTGTATCATTCATCTTTTTCCATTCATTGGTTCACTGGTCAAACAGAAAGCTTTATTCGAGGTTGCATGGTTCAAATTTGAATAATCCTTGCGCGCTTTGTGTTTGACCAGTGAACTAATGTATGGAAAATGGTGAATTAAACAGGTTTCATCAATGCACGTGGTACTTTGTTATTAATTCTTCTCTAACGGTGGTATTTTCGATATATGCTGTAGTCCCTGTCTATACGCTCATTCGTGCAGGTTTAGCAAATGTTTTTATATCACTGAAAAAAAAATCGAAGAATGAAAAGAAAAGAATGTGCAACTTGAACAACGGCAATGTTCAATTGAAATCTGAGCTCACAGATATTCAATCAATAGTATCTACGAATTAAAGCTTTAACCTTCAAATGCTATCGATACCCTGGTAAACCTTTGTGCTGAATAGTTGGCTAAACCTTTATGAGTGAACACCATAAACGGCGGTTGTATCAATAAAGAGAAATATTGCGTTGGTGGGTTCGCTGGTGGGTTCACTCAATAAGCTCAAAAACGAATACGTTTACAGCCCATTTCATCATACTGCCGTTTATGGTATTCCCCATTGGAAAATGGCGGCCGCGTATATTATATATTTGCTCGCGATCGTAATGACTAGGAATTTCCTTGTCCCGTCTTAAGTTTGAGTGGCGTAAGACAAAACGCCAAACGTGATTAGAGGGCCGAGCTTTTAAACTTGATATTAGCATTTAGTGTAACATCCTCTTTTAGTATTGCTACATAAAAACCTTGAAGAGCCATACCTCATATAATTAAACAAAGAAATATATTTTTAATTTTTTGCGCTTGCCATAAACGCCTACCGCTTTTAAGAGATCCATTTTATGCAAATTGTGAGCAGAGGAACAAGAACAAGAGGCGGAGAAAGATAAACCCGTCGAGGACGAAAAGAAACACGAGGGACAGAAAAAACATCATGGGAATAAAGAACACGAAGGAAAAGAGCATCAAAAAGAGCATGGACAAGCAAACAAGCGAGGTACGATGAGATGTGTAAAAAACTTTACAAACATCACTTCCAGACGGGGCTCTTATGTGAGGCTCGTTCGACAAGGACTACCACTACATTCACTATTTACAAAGCACGACACCCAACTCACATGTAAATTTTTGATGAGGAAAAAAAATCATAAAATATGAAGGAAAACGTAACCCTCGTGGCAAGGTAGAAAACATATCAAAGAAACTCAACTCACGTATGCTGCTCAATGAAGAATCAAACCAGTGGTGATAAACAGCGCCGATGCAACGTATGCCAACCAATTGCAAGCCATTCAAATGCAGGCCACCCAATTATAGGCCACCCAATTACAAGCCATCCAAATGCAGGCCACCCAATTATATGCTACCCAATTACAAGCCATCCAATTATAAGCCACCCAATTACAAACTACCCAATTACAATCCAATCAAGTACAATCCACACAATTACGTACAGGCCACCCAATTATAGGCCACCCAATTATAGGCACCCAATAACAGGCCACCCATGCCACCCATGCCACTCTAAGGGCGTATCCAGGATTCAAAGGGGGGTCCCTACACAACAAACTTTTACTATGACGTCATAGCACTATGGTACGATTTGCTCTTTTTTATGCCTTTTGTGGCTTAGAAAGGGGGGTCACGGGCACCCCAGGACACCACCCCCCCTAAATACGCCCCTGCAATCATGTCCTACCCATGCCAAATTAAAATAATTCTGCTATAACAATGATAAAAGCGTATCTCGTATTTTAAGGATTTGGGTCTGTGGTAAAGAACATTATCAAGGTAGCAAAAGTAGGAAATGAAATCATCCCTAAGATGGTAGTACTGGCGAGTATTGGCAATACAATTTTCCGTGCAATAGCTGGTTGTTGTGCTGACTATCCAAAGGCGTGTGAGGGGAATGAAGAAATATCAGAACTCAGGACTAACATTTCCAGCAAGAGTGAAGAACTTGATAGGATTCAGTCCGAAGGTATTGTAAATTGATCAAAGAGCTAGAGGGTATTGTAAATTATAGGAAGGGATGGAGTAGACTATGTATGTATATATTTGAGGGAAATGGAAGAAATTATTCAAAAGAACATAGCAGAGATAATTTTGAAAAAAGGAAGGGAGTAGTATACAGAATAGCGGCTCAGCAACGGGCGGATCAGGGCGGATCGCGGATCAGCCCCCAAAATGACGTCATACCCCTTACAATTTACAATTTGTTTTACAATTTATTTATTTCAAAGGTCACCGTATACAATTTGTACATTGGCACATGGCCAAAGAAAATACATTCAATCAAAATCTTGTAAATCAAGATCTTATTATATATGATAAATAGTTAAATTATTGTCCTCTTAATTGAAAGCACTCGTGCACATATTTGCAAACGAGGCTTTGGATTTTTTCTGGAGGGTTAAAAAAATTCTGGAAAATATAATTTTCACTCTTTTTTTAAAAATTCGTTAAATTTCTGCTTTCCACAACATCAAACATATTCTTTCTCAGACTCTCATAGCGCGGACATTTCACCAGGAAGTGTCGCTCGTCCTCTATTTCCCTAAGTTCACACGTAGTACATATACGGTCTTCGGGTTTTCTATACGGTCTTTTGTAACGCTCTACTTCTATCTCTAGATAATGACAACTAATTCTCAGGCGTGTGAGAGCGTTTCTATGCATGATGTTAGTAACGCGGAAGAGATATATTTCAGGGGAATAACTACATTTAAAGATGCGATATGTCCGGAGTTTTTTTTTTTTTTTTTTTTTATTTTTTTCATCAGACACCTCCGTGAGCCATGTCTGGAACTCAATATCTTTTAACCTTTATTTTACAGTTTTACAGTATCCTAATTTTGTCTGGACCTGGGTTCCTGACTGAGTCCCCAACGTATTTATCCAGACCTCACCGAGGCCCACTTTGTATATCGGTATCTTTAATTTTCTTTCTATCTGGTTCATCCGTGCCATCTGTGATTGTCTTTCAAACAAGCATGATTCGTAATTCTGGTGTCGTATCTCTCGCTTGGTCACGTTCTTGGAGATTCCTTTAGCAGTCTTTTTCTCTATCTCACAACCATTCTCGTGGTACAAGATGGATTACATCTTTGGGCGTAGGCCGATAAATTCTTCAATGGGTATCCCATGGGTCTCATCTTTCATCTTACCAATCACCTTCTTATTTCTCGTACTGTGGGGTAGTCCGAGGTGTCAAATAGGTCGAGGTCTCTGTACATACCTTGGTAGATGTCTTCGGTCCTAACCTCATAACAGAGACTGTCTGTGTCTGTTAAGAGTAGTTTGCACTGGGTTCCATATCTTGGTTTCATGTCCTTGTAATGGAACTCATTACATGAGTACTTTCGACAAGTACAAAATACAGAACCCCAGGTACAACTTGGCCTTTTTCATGTTTACCGCCGCCAGATCTTAAGAAAAGATGCGAAAAGCATCAAAGGCAGGAGAAGCTGTCAGTTTACTGAATTTCGTTGGGTTGGTAACCAGTTTCACGTTGACTCGTTTTCTAAGATTCTCCATGGTTTTAACAAAGACTTAATTGTTCATCAGTTTAAAAAAATCCTTTTTAAAGTCATTGCGTGCATTCTTTCGCTTCTCTGTATTAAAATCAATGTGACTCTTCAACCACCTGCTCTGTACAAATCCCAGTACTCGATGTATCTTGGTCAATTTCATCCCCAGTTCCAAGTAGAGTTTTAGGTTTCGGTAATGAAGAATATACTGAGTCTTGTTGTTGAGATTGGGGACCAACTTAGGGACGGGTGCCCCACCCAGGTTCAAATCTTCATTCAGTTGTTGACAGTAAGAAGATACCATGTCGGGGGTCACTCTCATTTTCTCCGGTACCAAAGGGTAGTCACTGTGCATAGCATGAAGTTCCTGCGAGTACTCCAGATCGACTTCCAGTATATACCCCTCTTCACTATCATCTGCCACGTCCATCACACCAAAATCTGCTACTTCATACTCTGATAGCCATTCAAAGTCGTGGGTAGGTAGAGGCTGAATCATACTATAACCATACAAGTTGTTTGCATCTATATACTGGATGTAGTTATGGTCTTTGTTTGGGTCGTAGTCTGGTGTGTAAGGGTTATTGGCCTTGCTGTAGCGATGGCTAATCATTGATATTCCACCTCTTAATCCTACCTCCACGAACAAGTACATATCAGGGTGAGTTAACAGTTCAAGTTCTGCATCAGTCATCATAAGACAGACAGACCAAGCCAATCCTGGACTTATGTAATAGTGGGAAGGGTCTATTTCGTAGTAGTTGAGACAAATGTTGCGGAAGTTTTCAAAGACATCCGCCAAGAGTAGCACATCTGACTTTAAGTACAAGTCGTGGTACTCCCCCAGGTTATGACACTGAAAAGTGTTGAAGACGTTCCGTGCATGCTGGTAATCCTCTTCACTAATGTGTTCTTGTGTGAGTTTACTGTAAAACTCTTCCTTGGAAGGGGGGACGGGGAGTCGAGTTTCTCGAAATTTCTCCACGCTGTCCATATAGTCGTAGGGATACACACCTTTGCGCATAAATCAGTCTATCAGTCTCTACATACTTCTTCAGTATGGTCAACTTGCTGTCTCCTTCTTTTGTGAGGTTGCAGGCCAGTTTCTCCAACGACGCATTCATGAATTGCAGAGAGTCTATAAGGTCTAGGTTTCCAATAGAGAAAGAAAAGTATTTCTCTACACTGTTGGGTATGCAGTTGTTCCTTGTCTTGAGAATGTTTTTTCTCGTGCCGCTTGAGAATGCCACATCGTTCACAGGTGAATGATCGCCCGCTGTGAAGAGCCTTCTTATGTCTCACTAGGTTGGTTTCTTGATTAAAACACTTGTTGCAGAGGTCGTAGTGAAACGCCATGCTTGCACTTGGTTGTCTGCTTGTTTTGATCCGCATTCTTCTGATGTTTGCTTGCAATGGCAAAAGGTCTGAAAAATTTCGAATTTATAGTGTCCGATTCTCAGAAATGCTAAAAATAGACACGATGTCATCTTCGGTGAAGAAATATTGAGATTTTATTGGCTGTTGCACATAATCTATTGTGACGTCATTTGGCAAGTTCAGGCATGTTTGAGATTTTTGATGAGCTAAGCTGTTTTGAACTCCAGTGAGATATGCCGAATTGAGCGAAGGGATCTAAAAAAAATGGCCCTATGTTTAATTTGTCCCGTTTTCCCGAGTGTCCTGGGTTTCTCCTCATCATCCTGGTTTTGTCCTTACGGTCCTGGTTTTGGCCTTGTTGTCCTGTATAAAAGCTAAAGCATTTTGAGAAAACTCTCATTCGTAACAACTCTACGAACCGTCAGCATGGTAAACCGAGTGTGCCGGGAATGTCCTGTTCCTGGATGTGGAACAATGTATCTTGTCAAGTTATCAAATCATTTGGCTGATGTGCATTTGATGGATTACAAAGAAAGAAGATTTTATTTACAAGAAGCCAAACTTCAACCCAAAATCAAAGTGCAAGACGATGCTCCGAAATCAAAATCTTCGAAAAGATTAGAAGTTCCATTGCTATCAGAAAGACCAGATATATTTTATGACTTTCAACACCAAGAAAGAAAAAGAAAATGCGGTTGCCGAAGACACAACAAAGAAAAGTTAACAAGACCAAGAAAACCGTAAAGAGATAGAAAAGACAGATTTATTCTACGAGAAGAAAATTGTAAAGCAGACTTTACCACTGCGGGATATCACTTTTACCTCCTAAATACCTCTGCTAGTTTTTCAACAAAGAAGATGGATGTTAGTTATTCTGTTTACGCAGAAGTACGGAAGAACCTTGAGTGTTAGAAAAATATTTTTGATCCTAGATGATTCTTGTGCTTGTTTGATTATGCAAAACCATTAAGTGCAACTTCTTTTTTTGGCTTAGTTGTCTTTACAAGATAAATAGTATTACACACACTTACACACATCTTTTTTTGGCTTAGTTGTCTTTACAAGATAAATAGTAAAGCTGTATATTTAGATGGTATGAATTTTAAGAACAAGAATGTTATAAGGATTATTCCTACTTGAGTAATAAGAAAAAGTAAAAATGAAAATGAAAATTTTTTTTTAACCAACAGCATGATTCTATGTTGTCAGGATTCAATAAGTCGGTAGTCTCCCCCACAGCCGCTTTCAGTGTCGTCACGCAACGCTTTCTCCCCTGAGTAGCTACTCAGGGGAGAAAACGTTGCGTGACGACACTGAAAGCGGCTGTGGGGGAGACTAATAAGTCAGATGATTGGTTTTCTTAATTATACAAAAACCATTTCGTTTTGTTCAAAGCCTCAGTTGTTGAAATTGAATGAACAAGTCATTCGTACATCGAGTTTGTTTAGTTATGGTAATAAAAGTTTATTAAAGAAATTTTTGTGCGTCTCTTAAATCCAAGTCAGTTCGTTCGGAGGCATAAACTAAAAGCATCTACAGAAAGAGAGGAAAAAACAGAAAGTTATGTACTACTATACTATACTGTGTATACTATACCGGCCGACCAAAAACCGGTCAGAACCGTTGATCTGAGTAACGAAGCAAAAAGCTCAGCAGTTTTTGATTAGACATGGTCTTGCTTTTGCTATTTCTTTGGCGGCAATGAAGGCATTGATGCGTGTTTCATGGTTGGGGAACAGAGGAGGTTCCACTAGTATCCCAGAATGCATTGTGTTTGATAATATATTATCACTTTTTCGTGACGTCATCACTTTGGTTTGACCGGCTTAGAGTGCACAACAAGATGGCGGTGTTCAGACTCGGCAAATGCTTTTCAAGATATTTCATTATTGTATGTTCATTGTGTTTCAAAAGAGGATTTTTCTGTTTGTGTACCCGGCCTTGAAGGAGTACAAGTCGTTTTTAGACTCGTTCACGTCAGTTTTTTGGAGAAATTGAGAGAGAGACGTGTCGCTCTTGTTCCAACAACAACGAGTGACAACTCTTCGATTGATTACTTGTTCAATAACGTCCG